TCTATCTATCTATCTATCTATCTATCTATCTATCTATCTATCTATCTATCTTCCTTCCTTCTACCTTCCTACCTAGTAGACAGATGTGGATTGGACATTATGAAGCCCCCAAAGGCATATCTTTTTTGTTTGATACAATGGTTTTATTTCTGGACACATTGCATTTTTTTTTCCCAGGAGAAGAACTGGATCTGGGGTTCTCTGAATTTTGGGGATCTCTTTTTGCTGGGCAAATTGGAACGGGCCCTTTCCTCGCCCCCCTCAAGATCCCCCTTTGTCATTTCACCAAAGACTTTGGGCCGCCGTGGCTGGTCTCTATTGACTCCCCCTTCCTTCTCCCCGTAGATCCCGCTTGTGCATCGAGCCAAGGCCATGTCGAAGAAGCCCATCTCCTTGATGGCCAGTCCGTGGACTTCTCCGATTTGGATGAAGACCAACGAGGATTGGAAAGGAAAGGGATCTCTGAAAGGGCAGGCGGGAGATTCCTTCCACAAAACGTGGGCTTGCTACTTCGTCAGGTAAAATGAGCAACCAGGATGTCTGCAGGTCTTTATTTGGGAGGGAGAGTGTTCTCTACGGGCAGAGAAGGATATTACAGACAATTCAATTTCCATGTTTTTCCCATGAATGTGAAAGACTGGGCGTGAGTCTAGTCCATGGGTATGGTGTAAGTTAAATGACCCAAATCAAATAGAATCAATTAATTCATAAATAACAAACGAGATCATAAATCGTAAACCTCCGAAAAGTGAGGGTTGGGAAAATAGATAAATCTAAAGGACAGTGTCCTTTAATTCTGAAATAAAGGACGTATTGATGGCCCGCTTCAGCTCTGACATTTGAGCCCGAATCCTCTCTGGTTCTCAACGGTTTGGCTTAAACTGGAGAAATTCAGTGGTTGTTCGGAAGCAGAGGCAGAAGGAAGGGAAGACAATATTCCAGATGGTTAAACTGCGGGCTGCTCCAGCGAATGTACTGAAATATTTTTTTTTTCGTTCCTTCAACCGCAAATAGTTCCACGGCATACCGAAACAGGTCCCAGGCCGTTAATCCAGTTTGGGCAGGCCTTGTGAAAAGAATTGTTTTATGCATGGTGAGGGGTCTGGATTTTAAGGTGTTTCCTGCCCCTCTTTGTGGGATGTTGGAAACGTCACCTGAAAAATCAAAATGAATACGGGCGTACCTCGGTGATGTTGTGGGTTCGGTTGCAGATCACTGCAATGAAGCGAATATTGCAACAGAGCGAGCCAGACGAATTTTGGGGTTTCCGAGAGTGGAAACGATAGTGTGGTCTGTTCAGCGTGCAACAGCATGATGTCTGAAAAAAATGTATATCCCTTCAGGTACGCCAATATATACAGCTGATTTAGCTTGCACGCGAAGCCATGATGCAATGTGCAATGTGCTGATTTGCGTCCTGTAGCTCGGGAGCAAGGTGTGAACCACGCAACCATAGCTTGCTCAACAAACCTTGTTCTTTTAGGGCAGCTACATTAAGAGCGTTGGCTAAGTTGAAAAAAATAAACGTCTCGAGTTCAGGTTCCAGGTTGCTCCAAGGCCGGCTGAAAAACCAGGATAAGTTGATATCACCACAGCTCGCAGGCTGATCGAGAGCTGCTAAAAATGATTTAACCTTTGCCTTATAAATGTGTAGTCACCCGGAATTCTCAATTCCGGCGTTAACTTGGATCGCACTTAACAAGGGAACGAGTTGAAGGAATTTTGCAAAGCTCAAATCTTCCAGCCAAGTATGGTCTCTCTCTTACTATTTTTGAAAAAATGTAGGAATCGTTGCATGGCTCTAGTCCTCATGAGTCTTATAAATAAAAAGCTGGTTTTTAAGGGAGCTGCTTTCCAGCATCAAAGTGCAATGAGCTTCGTGTTGTCAAGGCCGATCAGACGTCCTGAATTTCAGGCAGGAGTCTTTTTTTCCTTTTCTGAATCGGAAACCCGGACCTTTCGCCCAGAAGTTGCAAAAATTAACGGCGTTGAAGACTTGCCCAGCCTCGCCTGTTGGGTGGTTAGTGTTTTGGCTGATTAAAGGTGAACAACGGTGCGGGTTTCCCTTTGCCAGGTTTCTCGATGAATACGCCAAGGAGAATTTAACCTTCTGGGCTATCACCGCTCAAAACGAGCCGTCCTCTGGGTTCGTAATGAATTACCCTTTCCAGACGTTGGGGTTCACAGCAGAATTGCAGCGGGATTTCATTGCACTGGATCTTGGCCCTGCCCTGGCCCGGAGTTCGCATAGGGACGTCCGCCTCATTGTCCTAGATGACAACCGAGTCCATCTCCCAAAGTGGGCTAAAGTGGTGAGTGGGAAATGGAGCTCAAAGAAACGTGGTGATTCCCCAGGGGGCGCGGGCTTCCACCCCTCATCAGCCATTTAACTTTTTTTTTTTAATTCTTTTTCACAAATCAAGCTTCTAGTCCTTAAGGCTCGGGAGGTGGGTGATGCCAGGGTTCCATAGCAAAAGAAAATAGGTTAATCGGCTTCCTGGTTGTCTTGAGAGGTCAGCGTGCGGGGCCGCGGGACGCTGTAAAATTCTGATTTTTCTTGCTGGATAACCCGAGTTTCCGTTGCGACCCTTAATGCGTCCGGTTACGAATGATCCTCTGTCTTTTGCACTGTTTCCCCACCATTCTCAAAGCAAGGAACCGTATCCAAGTGTTTCTTGAGAGCACGTTTAAAAAACAGGCTTAAATGTATATTGACGGGCCAAACCTTTTGGAAGACATAGAGGCAGTTGGGAAAAAAAATAGAACGAAGGATTATCTCATGGAGAAACTGACTGGGCAGGATTTTCAAGGGCCAATCCTTGCTTACAACTGCCCAGCGGTGTAGACTTCGAAACAGAAACTTTATTCTGAAATAAAGGACGTGTTGATGGCCCGCTTCAGCTCTGACATTTGAGCCCGAATCCTCTCTGGTTCTCAACGGTAAACCAAAAATCAGGAAGAACCTGAATTGCGGTCTGAACCTATTTAGCCAGGCTTCAGGCTACTCCGTTACTAATTTCAGGTGATGGGAAAGCAAAGCCAAAATAGATGAAGAAGAACATGATTAAAGTTAACGTTAAATGGAAATGAATTACTAATTCATATGGCATAAGAGTTTCAGAACAGGAAGAGGGCTGATAAACATTTAGGAAGGGAACGTTGTGTTCTCGTTTCCCTTCCCCACCCCGTCGCCTTTTCTCACTGCATTCATTTTTAAAGATTACAAAGCGTTGCCTCTCTTCCTTAATTTCTCTGCCCTTCTGGAGGACTTTTTAGGCGAGGAGCTGAGTATTCTTGGGCATGAAATGGAAGGTGGTGTTTGGGGACTTCCTGGTGGTCTCCCATCCATGAGCCAACCGGTCTGAGATTTTCCAAGTTTTTTAAGAGCAAGAACGCGAGCTAATCTGGAGGTTTAGAAACAGGCTGGCTAATCCTCTAACCAGCTGTGCAGGGGTTAGACTTGAGGACCTCTGTGAGGTCAGCCGGCATCGGTCTTGGCCTTCCGACTGTGCCATGACGCGATCTGTCCTTTTCCCTGGCAAGGTGTTGGACAGCGACAGCCAAGCCTATCGTTACGTTCACGGCATCGGTGTGCACTGGTACCTGGATTTCATCACCTCCATCAAGGACACGATAGACGCCACCCACTATCTTTTCCCCAATTATTTCCTGATCGCCACCGAAGCCTGTGCTGGGTCCCACTTTTGGGAACGGGACGTTATCCTTGGATCCTGGAGCCGAGGGGAAGAGTACAGCCACAGCATCTTGGAGGTAGATGGGGGAAACTGGGGAAGGGAGGGGGAGAGCGGGAAGGGGAGGGGAGGGGAGAAGGAAGGAAGGAAGGAAGGAAGGAAGGAAGGGAAGGAAGGAAGGAAGGAAGTTGAATTGATAAGATAGGGAGGGAAGGGTATGGCCTGCCCTTCCCTGTTCCCCCAGAGATCCTGATTCTTTCCCCGTCTTCCCTCTAGAACCTGAACCACCATGTCATCGGATGGATTGACTGGAACCTGGCGCTGGATTTAGAAGGAGGGCCCAACTGGGTGAAGAACTTCGTGGACAGTGCAATCATTGTGGACACCACCAGCGACATCTTTTATAAGCAACCCATGTTCTACCACTTGGGGCATTTCAGGTACAACTGCTGAGTGGCTGTTGAGCCCCAGAAGAGGGGGATTAGGGGGTTAGGGTTAGGGTTAGCGATGAAACTTCAAATAAGATTCTGGTCTTCTTGGTTCTGAAGAAGAACCCCAAGGGAGTTGGCTTGGACAAATTCAACAATGGACAATTCAACAATTCTGCCTCGTGCAAACTCAGTCTAAATGTGGTGAAATTCAATTTGGTTTAAATGATGGGATAGGAAGGCCTCTCTTTATAGATTCTGGGGAGCATTCCCAGGTTATACCAGGTTTAAGCCCACCCTCGATCATAGATGCTCAATTTTAAGCTCTACCTACTAATCTTAAACTCAATCTGCTGAATTTAAAGTCAACCTACCAACCTCAAACTCAACCTACCAATCCTAAACTCAAGCTACTAATATTAAAATCAACCTACCAACCTTAAACTCAACGTACTAATCTTAAAGTCAACCTACTAACCTTAAGCTCAAGCTACTAATCTTAAACTCAACCTATCAACCTTAAACTCAACCTACCAACCTTAAACTCAACCTACCAATCCTAAACTCAACCTACTAATCTTAAAGTCAACCTACTAACCTTAAGCTCAACCTACCAACCTTAAACTCAACCTACCAACCTTAAACTCAATCTACCAATCCTAAACTCAATCTACTAATCTTAAACTCAACCTACCAACCTTAAACTCAACCTACCAATCCTAAACTCAAGCTACTAATCTT